ACTTTATTAACCAATTTTTTCTTCATACTTTGGACAATTCCTTCTTAAAGGTTGAACTGACCTTGAGCATAAATGACCTTGATCATCAAGATCAAATTATTTAATTTTGGTTAAGTTGTGATAATTTTGTTGTTTATGAACAAATTTAATTCATATGTGGACAAAACAACACTTTTGACCAAACAGACATTTTGAATAATTTAGATATGACGTTTAAATGACCTTAATTATCAAGGTCAAATAAATTAATTGAACTTTGCTTATATTTTGTGTCGCCTTGAAAAGGTGACATAATTTATAGGGTTACTTTTGACAGCGGTGTCGTTGTCGGCGTCCCCCAAAGCTTGTCCGGAGCATAACTCAGTCACTATAAGTCGGATTGACTTCAAACTTGGTATACATGCTTCTTTCAATAACCCGAAGTGCAGTGCCCAAGGACCCCTATTCTGCTTTTCTTAATTTTTGAGTTATTGGCCTTTGTAAATTTTTCATACTTTTTATTTGTCTGGGCCATTTCTCTTCAACTATAAAAGCTATGGACTTGAAACTTCATAGGATAATAGATCTAATTAAGAAGAAGTGCAGTGCACAAGAACTGGTACTCTGCACTTCCTATTTTTGAGTTTTTTTTGTCCAGGTCATTTGTCCTCAAGTATGAAGGCTATGGACATGAAACTTCATAGGATGATAGATCTTATTAAGGAAAAGTGCAGTGTTCAAGAACCGGTACTCTGCATTTCTTATTTTTGAGTTATTACCCTTTATTAATTTTCATACTTTATTTTTGTCCAGGCCATTTCTCATAAATTATAAAAGCTATGGACTTGAAACTTCATAAAATGATAGATCTTATTGATAAGAAGTGCAGTGCACAGAAACTGCTGCTCTGCACTTATTATTTTTTGAGTAATTGCCCTTTGTTAGTGTTCATATTTCATTTTTGTCCTGGCCATTTCTCCTAAACTATATTGTTCACAAGGCGACACAATCGACTCGCGGAGTTTTTAGTTTTTAACTTAGTGATTTCATTTTGGAAATTATTCATGCTTGCACAAAAAAGTATGACTAGACAGACCTATTAAAGTTTAAAAATAAAAGAAAAACTAAATTTTCTTTAAGATTTGTTTAAATCATTTATTTGTGTGCTTTTAGAAAAACTAAATAAAAAAGTATAGTGTTGCCCTGCTCAGCAGTGGCTCTTGTTAAGCAATGTTCACAACTATTACAGATGTTAAAGAATAGATTATTTTTAAATGAATTAGAAACTGTTTGGTTTTCATAAAAAAGAAGTGTGTTGGTTTTCATAAAAAGAAGTGTCTGAGAACGAATGTCCCAAGATTGTCCCTGGGAAAAGATCTGGTTGCATAGTTGTGGTAAAAATGCCACAAACTGAACACAATTCTGGTGATGATAAATACGAACAGTTTTTGAGGAGCATCCATTTTCATTAGAGATATGTTTGTTGTTTGTTTATGAGTGCAGTCACATATTTCTCTTCAGATCTTCCTGTCAGAATTGTCATGTATAGTGTCTGGTGAAACAGATGATGATGTGGACGAGCTTCTACAGAGATATGACATTGATGACTTAGATATAGCTGAAGAAGAATTATGGATGGTTGAAGCTCCTGTTCTCCCAGGATGTGATACACCAGAAGAGGCAGAAGAAGGTAAAGTCGGGTTATTATTTTACATCATTCTTGTCCTTTGTAATTGTTCCAATACCTTATTAAAGAGCGTAAGAGATTCAGTACCACTTAATTGATTCCAAGGGGTCAAGAGAGATGCTGTCTCTCCTAAACAGATTCATTTAAATCCCACTTATTCATGTGTCCTTTGATCTGGAGCCGCCACCAATTACAGAATTTGTATTGAAATTTGAAGAAAATAGCAAAAAAATAAAGTAGCAGAAAAATGTTGAATTATATATTTGACTCAAATAATATCTTGTAAATTATTTGATCTGCATGAATAAAAGCTATCTGTTTTAATCTTGTGTGTGATAATGTTACAAAAATGATGGATGAGTTGGTGGCCTATGGTTAAGTTGTCTACCTCCCAACCTAGAGACTGTGTGTTTGAGTCCTATCAACATGACAAGTTTGTTAACCCGGTTTTCGTTGAAAACTTCGTTGTAATGCCGAAGTCGGCGGGCGGGCGTCAACTTTTGGTTTCCGCTCAATAACTTAAGTTTGCTTTGGCCTATTGACACCAAACTTGGTGTGTAGGTAGCTTATATCAAGAGGCAGCTTGGGATTGCTACCCAGGTGTCTGTGATCAAGGTCAAGGTCACTGTTACTATAAATAGAAATTCAGTTTCCGCTCAATAACTTGAGTTTGCTTTAGCCTATTGACACCAAAATTGGGGTATGGATAGCTTATATCAAAGAGGCAGCTTGGATTGCTACCCAGGTGTCTGTTGATCAAGGTCAAGGTCACTGTTACTAAAAATAGAAATTCAGTTTCTGCTCAATAACTTGGGTTTTGCTTGGCCTATTGACACCAAACTTGGTGTATGGATAGCTTATATCAAGAGTTAGCTTGGGATTGGTACCCAGGTGTCTGTGATCAAGGTCAAGGTCACTGTTACTAAAAATAGAAATTCAGTTTCCGCTCAATAACTTGAGTTTGCTTTGGCCTATTCACACCAAACTTGGTGTATGGATAGCTTATATCAAGAGGCAGTTTGGCATTGGTACCCAGGTGCCTGTGATCTAGGTCAAGGTCACTGTTACTAAAAATAGAAATTCAGTTTCCGCTCAATAACTTGAGTTGGTTTGGCCTATTGACACCAAACTTGGTGTATGGATAGCTTACAAAATGTATATCAAGAGGCAGCTTGGGATTGGTACCCAGGTGTCTGTGATCTAGGTCAATGTCACTGTTACTAAAAATAGAAATTCAGTTTCTGCTCAATAACTTGAGATTGCTTTGGCCTATTGACACCAAACTTGGTGTATGGATAGGTTATATCAAGAGGCAGCTTGGGATTGCTACCCAGGTGTCTGTGATCAAGGTCAAGGTCACTGTTACTAAAAATAGAAATTCAGTTCTGCTCAATAACTTGAGATTGCTTTGCCCTATTGACACCAAACTTGATGAATTGGTAGCTTATATCAAGAGGCAGCTTGGGATTGGTTCCCAGGTGTCTGTGATCAAGGTTAATGCATTTAGTTTTCATGTTATAACTTGAGTTTGCTTTTACCTTTTGACACTGAACTTGCTGAATGGCAGCTTTGGATTGCCACTTAGATATCTGGGTACAAGGTCAAGGTAATTTGCTTACAATAGAATTTTCAGTATCTACTCAATAACTGCAGTGCACTTTGACCTATTGATTGTTGTCACATCCAGGCTTTCAAGCGGGCCCTACTTTTCTTATTTTTCCTACTTTTCCCTACTTTTTTGTTTGACCCCTACTTTTCCCTACTTTTTTTTTGAAATGCCCTCCTATCCCTACTTTTTAAAGAAAAAAGCTCGAGGATAATTGATTAAAAAACCAGTATAAGTAGTAGATTGATTTTGATATAATCTTTATCTCAAATTAAATAAGAATCAGATGCTAGTTTAATTGTAGGAAAAAGTTGATGGAAGTAGGTCATCAGTGGTGCAAGAGGGGTTCCATGATGAGGATGGTTGGAGCTGACATGGCAGAATCAGCGACTTTAGGTGAGTTTGCTTATAAAGAAATATTACTTAGTGTTCAATTATTTTTTATGTTTTTGTACACAGACTAGCTTCTCAATTGTTTCATTTCAAAATTATAATATGTTTTTTGTACACAGACTAGCTTCTCAATTGTTTTATTTCAAAATTATAATATGTTTTTGTACACAGACTAGCTTCTCAATTGTTTCATTTCAAAATTATAATATGTTTTTGTACACAGACTAGCTTCTCAATTGTTTCATTTAAAAATTATAATATGTTTTTGTACACAGACTAGCTTCTCAATTGTTTCATTTCAAAATTATAATATGTTTTTGTGCACAGACTAGCTTCTCAATTGTTTCATTTCAAAATTATAATATGTTTTTGTACACAGACTAGCTTCTCAATTGTTTCATTTCAAAATTATGATATGTTTTTGTACACAGACTAGCTTCTCAATTGTTTCCCAATGATACTTATGCTAAGGGACAATACAGACTAGCTTCTCTATTGTTTCATTTCAAAATTATGTTATGTTTTTGTACACAGACTAGCTTCTCAATTGTTTCATTTCAAAATTATGATATGTTTTTGTACACAGACTAGCTTCTCAATTGTTTCCCAATGATACTTATGCTAAGGGACAATACAGACTAGCTTCTCTATTGTTTCATTTCAAAATTATGATATGTTTTTGTACACAGACTAGCTTCTCAATTGTTTCCCAATGATACTTATGCTAAGGGACAATATATGCCAACATCTTTGAGCATATATAGATTTTAGGCAATGTTTGCCATATTGGCAAGTATTGAAGTTGCTCACTGTGATCATTTTGTCTTGAATTTTCATTGAATGAAAGATACTGGAAAAATGTAGTGAGTGTTTCTGAAAAACATGTATGCTTTAATTAGATAGAATTTGATTAAAGATGTGAGAGATTGTTGTTACATCCAAAGTTTTTGCTCTCTATCTTGAAATATATATGATTGCTTTGATTTGCCAGTTTTGCATGTACTAACTTTGCATACTAACTGCTTGTGTATATATCTTAAAATTTACTTTTGGTTGTTACAAGTATCTATTTACTATGCCCATGTAAACTCCATGCATATCTAGGATGCTAGTAAACCTTTGCTTTTTTTTTACATTTATTCCTTTTCATTTTCTAGTGTGTTATAATGCTAGTTAAAAAAATCATGTTTTAACACCTATCCTTGTTCTAGTCTGTGTTTCACATATTATGCTAGCTAAAACCATGTTTTGGCACATAACATTTTTCTTGTTTGTATTTTGTAACAACCATGCTATCTTAAACAAGGTTTTAACACATATATATATATATATATATATATATAATATGGCATAAATACTCATTTATCTTAGACCTACTTACATTTCTTGTAATTAAGTGTCATTAAGTTTCTTTTTAAATTCCATTTTACTAACAATTTATTATTTCAGGTCCATTAATTTATAAAAATTAACTTCACAATGCCACATGGACAATGCATGTTAATGTATATGCTTTGCTCTGTAGTTGTGTGCATCTATTTATTTGGTAGCAGGCTTTACTATACTATTATCTATAGTTCTGCAATTAATACATTATGAAGCGTAAACTCTTGCTTTGATTTGTCAGTTTTGCATGTACTAACTTTGCATACTAACTGCTTGTGTATATATCTTAAAATTTACGTTTGATTGTTACAAGTATCTATTTTGCATGCCCATGTAAACTCCATGCATATCTAGGATGCTAGTAAACCTTTGCTTTTTTTTTACATTTATTCCTTTTCATTTTCTAGTGTGTTATAATGCTAGTTAAAAAAATCATGTTTTAACACCTATCCTTGTTCTAGTCTGTGTTTCACATATTATGCTAGCTAAAACCATGTTTTGGCACATAACATTTTTCTTGTTTGTATTTTGTAACAACCATGCTATCTTAAACAAGGTTTTAACACATTTCCTGTTTCTAGTCTGTGTACAAAAAACATGCTTACTTAATGTTTAATGTTGCTTATAGTCTGTGTTCAGACATATTCATTGTTTATAGTTTTCTGTTATTATTTGGGATTGGATCTAATAAAAAAATACCAATTCCAGGTTCATGTCCAGATTCATCCTGTTGTGGAATCCCTATTGAGACACTGGTGACTGGTTTCCTAAATGAAGAAAATGCCATGGATATTAGTTGATAAGGGTCTGTATTTGTTTTTGCATCAACTTTGGAAAAAGGTGAGTAGAGAGTCCTACTTTCCCTACTTTTAGGCTCTGAAAATCCCTACTTTTCCCTACTTTTTTACAAAAAAATTCCTACTTTTATCCCTACTTTTTTGTTATTGGCCACTTGAAAGCCTGCACATCAAAACTTGGTCATTGAAAACCTGGTTTTCGTCGCATTGCGGCGCTTCTTGTTTCCTCATATGACACCTGTCAGTTCTAGGAATAAGACTTAAGCTCTTAGCTTTATTCACTTCATTATCTCATTCTTCTTTAATAAAAATAACTTAATTTACAGAAGGAGAAGTTTCTGGTGAGGATGATGATATTAATGTTACTGTTGCAAGTCAAGATGGGGAATTCCAGCTTAGAATGTGGCCACCTGTTGCCAGTGAAAATAAAATTCATGTCACAGGTATACATATTTGCATTTCTGTTTATGTTCAACCAAATACTTTTAGATGTCTCCTTCATGACATTATTTTTTGCTAATCTTAAATAAAACATGTATTGTCCTACCTACCCTACTTAAGTCAAGATATGTGGACTTATAAAGAAAGTAAGTAGAACAATGGTAGAGCATAAGTTGTCTTATTTGTGCAAGTCTTTATATCCTTCATGTATGTTGATGTTAGATCATTTAACATCTAGTATACACCAATTACAATATGACACGTTTTTGTCTGAGTACTGAATGGAATCCATTTTACTTCTTTTAATAACAGGAGGGATGTCTAATGGTCATTGTTATTATATAGTAACATTCTTGCAGTACAATTTTGTGTATATTCTATCTTGTTATTGTGTAAAGTATGTATCCATAGTCAAACACAGGTAAATTTGGTAAATAAAGTATATTTATTTATTTTATTTATTTTTACCAAGGTGACATTGATGTTACACACATACTGTATAAACGAAAAAAATTCGCATTATAAACAATATCTGTTTACCATGTTTTTGGACAAATTTTACACGGAAGTGATTTGTGTTTTAGGTGTATCTTCTGAAAATGATTCTATTCATGATTAACATTAAATATTTTAGAAGGCACTGAAAAACCAACGTCGAACATTTGGCCCCCACCACAGGCAAAAGATTACATGAAATCTGTGAAAGACCTACCATCTAATATCAGAATGATTGTACACAAACAGACAGAAACACAAGAAGATGATGATAAAGCTACACAACCAAGTACTGAAATAGAGAGTTCTAGGACAGAACAGGAACTAAAAACTTATCCTGTACATCAAAGTGATTTTGAGCGTGCAACAGGACTTGTGGAAGATTCTAAATCACAAGGAGCTGGTGGCCAATTGAAACTTGTGTCTGCAGGAAAGCTAGATGACAATGTAGGGGCTCTACAATTAGAACATAGTAAGGCATTTGTCTTTATTTTATACATGTTTTCTTTGTTGAGATAAATAAAGATATAGATGTATACCTCTATCTGTAAAGTTTTTAATTTTATTCTGTTTACTTATGATAAACATTAAGATAGACACTAGATCACTAGATTTCTTCATGACTATCTGGTTTACACCATATTGCTCATGATTGTGAAGCTAATATCGCATTACCTCGTGCCATAACACCACATTTCCTCATGCTTACACCACATTTCTTTATGCTTATACCACATTTCCTAGCTTACACCACATTTCCTTATGCTCACACCAAATTTATTTATGCTTACACCACATTTCCTTATGCTTACACCATATTTCCTTATGCTTACACCACATTTCATTATGGTTACACCACATTTCCTTATGCTTACACCACATTTCCTTGTACTTACACCACATTTCCTTATGCTGTCAGGCTTATATCACATTTCCTAATGCCTCCAAGGATAACATAGTATTTTCTCATAATGACTGTAAGACTACCACCATACTTTTTCATGAATGTAAGACTACTAAAACATTTTCATATGAATGTAAGACTTCCAAAATATTTTCATATGAATGTAAGACTTCCAAAATATTATCTCATGAATATAAGACTATCATCATATATACTCATGACTGTAATGCTTTCACCATTTTATCTCATGACTGACACTATGGCCATATTTTCTCCGGACAGTGAAGCTGGTACATTGTAGGATTCAACAGTGATTATTTAACGTAAATTCAGCCTTCATCACAAATAAGCCAAGATAGACTGAATTAGAACTTAATCATTATAAATAATTTCAAATTTATAACAGCTTTGTAATATGTTAAGCAAAAGTCTTAACAATTTATAAAATTCTATCCCCTTCTGTTGGAGCTTAGACATGTCACATTTAGTAATGCCATATATAACAGCTTATTTTATGTCTTAACCAGTAACTGTTTCAGTGTGTAATGTGCAGGAGGGATGTGAATTTTATCACTGGTGGAACTTGAACTTTTCAGTTTTCATCTTCTGCACCTTTCAATAATGCAATGTTATAAATGTATATTACTATATATGAATTTAGAAATACAGAGAGCTGGGTTACAGACAATTCAACAGGTGTTAAAGTAGATAACGTTCCAGAGATAAGTGGCAAAAGAAGGGACTAACATTGATGAATAGGGGAGTTTAAAGTCATTCATCTGACAAAAAATAATTCAGCATTAGAGGATCAAGGCCAAGGTTATGGTAAGTGTGTAAGAATAATTAATGAGTTCTATTCTATATTCAATTGTAAACATTCCCTTGTTACCCCAGGTAGGTGAGAGGGCTAGCAATAGAAATGAACCAATTTTTTACCTGCATTGTGTCCCCACATTACAGGGTCAATGTGATTGTTTTATTTGTAATAATGGGGAATATTTACTATTTGCAATATTATATGGAGTAATTTACAAAGGAATTTATCAGTCTGACAGACAGTGTCTGAAATGGGGTGTTTGCTTGTCTGTATTGACAGAGTCCCCACTATTTCCTAAGGAGTTTGGAGGTCAAAAAATAATTGCCTGGCAGGGTGCATGCCCAGGCATACCCACATACACACATGCATTGCAATTTGATCGGAAATTTTAGAAAAGTAGAAAATGCTAAAAAACACAATAAAAACATTTCCCTTACTGTGATGGAACGTTAAAGTTGTCTCAATATTGATTAGACAAAATTGAATGTCTAATACACTGATCCTTTATGTTAAAAGTTATTTCAAAATTTTTCGAGCTATGAGAGGGGGACAACCCTCCTATACTTTTCCCCCATCACAAGAACATGTACCCACTACTTTGCCCAGCAACATGCAATATTATTGCTTTTATTTAATAAAATTGTTGTGCAATTTGTATATGGATCAAAATTTTATTCAAAGGGAAGGCATATTCTATAAATTAGGCTTTAACATATCAATTGCAAAGATGACCTGTCAGTTGAGATGACCAGTCCCTAGTCTCTTCATGGAAAACATGGATTCAAGCCAACCTGTGATCACAGCCATGTTTCTTCATATGGCACAGTTACCAATACATTTCAGACATTGGGACTCTAAAGTGGTCAACTTTTTACTCTTATCTAAAGTAAAACATTTTTAAGAAGACCCTTTCTTTCATATTATTTTTCTAGCACATGTGGGTTTTACAAAAAATGGTATGATTTCAGGGCATAGACGTGGTGGTGATTCTGGTCATTTCATAGAAGAAAAGGACAGCATGCCCTTCACTAGAGGACAACCTATTATTAAAGGTAAAGCATGTAAAATAATTGTTAGAAATTAATGTCTTCAGATAAAACCTGATAATATTAACATAGATTAATATTCATGGTTATACATGTAGTAAAATAGTGCAAAATACATCAGGGGTGCAGAAAATCCAAAACTCGTGGTGGCTCGAGGTCATTTGCCAGTTGACAAGTTTTTACTGCTGTAATGTACTTGTCTGTTTAAATATACACTTTCATTACCAGTCATTTCACCTCTGGATGAACTCTAGCTATAAACAACAGCTATTGGAAAGCAAGCTCCCTGTATTGGTGGCAGCAGCTCAGTGTTAGGGTTATTATTGTTATGCACCATTTAGTTGTAATTGTTAAGTTGCTTTGGCTCAAATTACACTGTTTCCTATAGATGTTTGGTAGTTACACAGGCTATTAAATAATAAAGAAAATAAGGATCCAACTGACTGACAAATACATGTCATTGTCATCAAATTGTAAATTTTTTAATATTTTCTGCTATATTGCATAAGGAAATAAAGGCTGTGTGATATTTAATCAAAAGGCATGACCAAACACAATGTGTCAGCCATTTTTTTGGGGGGGGGGGGAAGACATGACATCATTAATATTGCAGTAAATGGTGCTGGTACTATTATAATACCCCTACTATTGTCATGTTTGTGGTATCAGGTTTTTATGTAGGGGAATGTGTCAAAATTTTGATTAAAAAGACATTCAATTGTAATCTCTCAATAATTTTTTTAAATAATATGTCAAACATTTTTTTATTTTTCCAAACGAGCATGTAAATAATTTCTGTTCAACTGGGAAAAATTAAGATTCCCTTGTATATTTCCTTTTAGAATTTGCATTGAAACTAAAAATATTGTAGCTGATAAACAAAACTTCCTGAATCATGATGATCCTATTTGGACATTAATGGAAACATATTACTTTAATTTTCAACATTTAAGTAACATTAAGTTTTGTGTTATATTATATAGGTGATCCTATTTGGACATTTTTATTGCGACAGATATAAAGTTTTTGTGCCTTATTTTATAGGTGATCCTATTTGGACATTTATGGCGACAGATATAAAGTTTTGTGCTATATTTTATAGGTGATCCTATTTGGACATTTATGGCGACAGATATAAAGTTTTGTGCTATATTTTATAGGGTGATCCTTTGGACATTTATGGGTGACAGATATAAAGTTTTGCTATATTTTATAGGTGACCCTATTTGGACATTTATGGCGACAGATATAAAGTTTTGTGCTATATTTTATAGGTGATCCTATTTGGACATTTATGGCGACAGATATAAAGTTTTGTGCTATATTTTATAGGTTATCCTATTTGGACATTTATGGCGACAGATATAAAGTTTTGTGCTTTATTTTATAGGTGATCCTATTTGGACATTTATGGCGACAGATATAAAGTTTTGGGTTATATTTTATAGGTGATTCTATTTGGACATTTATGGCAACAGATATAAAGTTTTGTGTTATATTTTATAGGTGATCCTATTTGGACATTTATGGCGACAGATATAAAGTTTTGTGCCTTATTTTATGGCGACAGATATAAAGTTTTGTGCTATATTTTATAGGTGATCCTTTTTGGACATTTATGGTGACAGATATAAAGTTTTGTGCTATATTTTATAGGTGATCCTATTTGGACATTTATGGTGACAGATATAAAGATTTGTGCTATATTTTATAGGTGATCCTATTTGGACATTTATTGCGACAGATATAAAGTTTTGTGCTATATTTTATAGGTGATCCTATTTGACATTTATGGCGACAGATATAAAGTTTTTGTGCTATATTTTATAGGTGATCCTATTGGACATTTATGGCGACAGATATAAAGTTTTGTGCTATATTTTATAGGTGATCCTATTTGGACATTTATGGCGACAGATATAAAGTTTTGTGCTATATTTTATAGGTGATCCTATTTGGACATTTATGGCGACAGATATAAAGTTTTGTGCTATATTTTATAGGTGATCCTATTTGGACATTTATGGCGACAGATATAAAGTTTTGTGCTATATTTTATAGGTGATCCTATTTGGACATTTATGGCGACAGATATAAAGTTTTGTGCTATATTTTATAGGTGATCCTATTTGGACATTTATGGCGACAGATTATTTGTACGAGGATCTAGGCACTGGTAAAGACCTTGGTAATATTGATAGTCTTACATTATGTGATGATGCAGCTGGTCCAGAGATAGGGGAATGGGGAGAGGCGCTGGTTGCCCAATATCTTGAAAGACAAAAACAGCTTGGTAAAATTCTTGATTACTTCTGGAAGAATAGTGAAGAAGAAACAGGATGTCCATTTGATTTTGAAATCCAACTTTCAGGAAACAGTGGTATCTTGTCTAACTATATTGAGGTTAAAAGTACTGTCAGTGAGGATAAAGAAGTATTTGAGATATCCATGCAGCAGATTCAGTTTGCAGAGCATGAGAAAGAGAAGTTTCATATATACCGAGTGTTTAATGCAGGAAATCCAGAACGTGTTAAATTAATACGTATTACAAACCTCGACATGAGGCTAGCAAAGAAACAAGTAAAACTTTGTATGCTCATATAAAAACAAGAAATTTCAAAGAGGAGAATAAAAAAATCTTGGTTTTTATGGACTGAGCTTGTTGCAAAAAAGAGTTTTTTGATGATAATATAGAAAATTATAAGGAAGTCATTTTAAATTGTTATATATAGTATTAAAAATATGTTTGATGTAAGTTCATGTTGTTTATAAGCAGTGTGAAAGTCATGTTATATAACACTAAACTGCTGATGTAAAAGCCATTAGTCAATTTCTCTTAAAATAGAACTTTTTATTATTTAAAGAGCTTTACAAAGACACAACACACAGCCTTATTATACATGTATTAACTCAGCAATTTTTATTAACAAACATTCTGAGAGGACTACAAAATATAAAGTAAAAAAATCAAAATATAAGTGGGTTATAGTAACATCATATTAACTTACTCAAAACTTTAAAAATAATACTCAGTTTTTTTTCTAAATCAAGTTGTCAATAGTTTACTAATGTAAAATTTATGAAACATTAGTGAAATAAAGTATGACTTAAGATACTAGTGAAATACCAATAAATACATATAGCTGAAAATTAAAGTCATCCAAAACGATAGATGTCAAGCATGGGCTTCTGTCCATTTAGGATCAAGTTTTAACTGGTATTCTGTGATGTCATTGCCTTTTGTGATTTGTACATTACATTGTATGTAATTGTATTTAAAAGAAAGTTATTGATTAACATTATATAAATAAAGCATACTGAACTTCTTTTCTATTTTAACACTAATACAGCTGTGCCATGGAAATGTATGCCATTGTTTTTGTTTTAGTTCATTTTTGTGAGAATTTATGCTCAAAACCGGTCTCCCTAATTACCGACAAGAACCGTCAGGAACCGACAAGAAGTAAAAATGGGAAAATACGAATTAATTTCACTTATTCATCATTTAATAATAACAATTCCTAATACTTTTTACATAAAAAACATAATAAATTCGTTCTGAACCATGTTTATAGGCAAATATCTATACCGACAAGAAGTCACTCTCAGTTTCTCACCGTCAAGAACTCGGCCATCTTCGTATCATTGATAATGATATTACATTAAGAATTTGTGTATAAGTGTTAAATCATAATTTATTTTTATTAAGACTATGTTATATTATAAATAATAATTATTATGTTAAATGTATTCTAATTCAATTAAGAATATCATCATTAATGAATGACCTTATGAGAATATTCGCGGATACCGACAAGAAAGTTTCATTATTGCTAGCAATGGAGTAGGTTTTTAAATGTGTTCAAATAATTTATTGTCGGCCTATATTCAATAAATAATTTTAAACATTTCGTTGTCATTGATTACAAAATATCCTGCATTTAGGCAATATTTCTGTACCGACAAGAAATGTGTTCATGACTACCGACAAGAAATGTTTTCATGTCTACAGTACCGACAAGAAATATAATCATGCTTCATTATCATGTTTTCTTTAAAGAGACATTATGTATAGGCAAGATATAACTTATTTAATGAAAGTGATCAGTTATAGTTGTTTGAAATAATAGCATTTCATAACTGTATCAAAATATATTTCATATATAAAGTTTTACATACCTGCCATTTAAATTATCCAATTATAATCCATGTACAATTTTTACACAAATACACCAGTAAAGCATGCAATAAGAATATAAGAAATAAAATAATGGACGAAAACATAAATTCAATTCAGTTATTTTATTAGCATATATACATATAACATATTCAGGGCAAAAAAAATATAATTATTAAGTACAAATTTCAAAATCGATTGCTCAAACAAAATTGATTGATATTACTCAATTAAAGCTTGTGCGCGTGTGTTTCTCACTCAGTTAGCTTTGAGCGATTTAATTTAATCAAAGCTGTGAAAACTTTAAGCGTGTATTGCGCTTGTTCATAGCAAACGCTTGGGGTGAAAAGGTGCGAAAACAATTTCGAAATGAAAAGCTGTGAAAGAAAGAGATAATTCGTACATTGTATATAAAAAGTAGCTACGAAAAAAAAAAATGCCAGTAAGTTTAATGCAGTGTTGTGTTTGTGTACAGTACATAACTTTTATGAACTTTCACATTTCTGCAACCTCTGGCGCGGCCCAAAAGCCCGTAAGTTCAAAGCAGTGCTGTAACTTATGATAATAAAATATTGAAACCTATATTAGGGATATCTGTTTATTTCTTTTCTTCTAGTGGAGAAATGAACCACAACCTGATGAGACCTGTGGAGGGGTCGAAATAGGTTTCAATGTTTTTTCATTAAACAAATACAAGCGTATAATGCATAACATAACATCTTTGTAAGTCACGATGTCCGTCTTTTCTTCTCAATGGTGAGAATTAAGTCATCATCAATTTCTTCAAAAACAGAAAAAAAGTACAAAAGAAAGATTATATACATGTTCTTTCTACACTACAGCTCGTTCCCAATTTCTTGTCGGTAATTCTTCATTTACGCATGATCCCTGTTTTTTCTTGTCGGTAATCGATTTGTTAAAATATATTTTAAAACTAAATGGAATAAACACAAATATTGTTTTCTTATATGCATTAAAATATGAAAGTTTAAAGTTATCTAATTACAAAAAAGATTGTTAACATTTTCTACATCGACAATACAGCTCGTTCTCAATTTCTTGTCGGTAAATCTTCAGTACGCATGATCCCTATTTTTTTCTTGTTGGTAATCGATTTGTTAAATATATTTTAGAACAAAATTGAATAAACACAAAATATTTTTCTTATATGCATTTAAATATGAAAGTTTAAAGTCTTAAAAATTATTTAATTACAGAAAAAAGATTATATACATGTTCTACATCGACACTACAGCTCGTTCTCAATTTCTTGTCGGTAAATCTTCAGGACGCATGCTCCCTGTTTTTTTCTTGTTGGTAATCGATTTGTTAAATATATTTTAAAACTAAATTGAATAAACACAAAATATTTTTCTTATATGCATTAAAATATGAAAGTTTAAAGTCTTAAAAGTTATTTAATTACAGAAAAAAGATTATATACATGTTCTACATCGACACTACAGCTCGTTCTCAATTTCTTGTCGGTAAATCTTCATTACGCATGATCCCTGGTTTTTTCTTGTCGGTAATCGATTTGTTAAATATATTTTAAAACTAAAAGGAATAAATACAAATATTTTTTTCTTATAAGCATTAAAATATGAAAGTTTAAAGTGTTAAAAGTTATTTAATTACAAAAAAAAGATTATATACATGTTCTTTCTACACTACAGCCCGTTCTCAATTTCTTGTCGGTAAATCTTCATTACGCATGATCCCTGGTTTTTTCTTGTCGGTTGCATATATATTCATACAATGTCATGAAAAACTGATTTATGAGTACAAATAAGGTTGAAACATGTTAATAAGATATTCTGACCACAAATTTTGCAACTGATTATATTATTTTTATCATATTGAAAATAACAAATCTTTCTTGTCGGTGTCAACGTAACAGTAACAGTACGCGTTGCACTCGAATTTTTCTTGTCGGTACGCATATATTTAATTTTCTATAAAAATACAAGAAAACCCTTATCAAATATGAAAAATCTATATGCCATGCATGTTTAACAATCATAAAAACACATTAGTACGTGTTTATTTGTAATATATAGGCTCTTGTCGGTTCTTGTCGGTTCCTGACGGTTCTTTTCGGTAATTAGGGAGACCCCTCAAAACTGTTTGTTTGAATCTTTACCATAAGTTCAAATTTGGCTTGCCATAGCATTGTTTTATATTAGATATTTTGAATTGTTTGAGGAGAAATATTGTTTTTACCCTGTGTGTGTCTGACTGCTCATCTGAATTTCACAAGATTGTTTTATCATAATGCCTTTGATGTTTGTATTATAATAATGCTCTATTTGTCGTTGTTAATGTAAAGAAATTCCTCCACCAAGTTGAGAAGTTGCCATATGACCTATACTGTGCAATGTAAAACATAACAAATAAAAATCATTTTTGAAAGAATTTAATATTAAAACAGCTGTCATTTTGTCAAAGATAAATGTCACTATGTCCTTATTCAGCTCAATGTAGTCTGTGGTTTATTCTACCTACATCAATCAAACTTCATGTGGATATTGAGTAATAAGGCTCCCACGGTTACGCGTTAAAACGGAGTCGTTTCGATTTTCAGTCGAAAACGTTTACGGTAATGTTTACCGTTTAATCGAAATGACTATATTGTCTTACAAAATATCTAAATCATTGCCAGTAATCATGAATTCTATCAATTGTAATTGGTTTATTCCAAAGTAAAATACGGAAAATAGGTCTTTACAACCCTTCACACAGCATTACCGTGCACTAATCGTGACATAATACATTGGTAAAGTTGATTATCCTTTGATCTTTCAAAAGAGCGAAATTGAGGATACAATGCAGAAAATGTGTGTGGATTCAATCGTGATGAGCCCTGAACATTAAATTATTTGTAAATAAAAAGTAAGTCATCATTTGAGACTTGAATACATGGTGTAGTACATCGTCGGATACCCACAATTGATAAACCTGTCACACAACATGCAATCAACCGTGGCTAAAATGAATCGATTTAGGTCGATATACAGCAACAGGTGCGTAAAATATCTACCAATGACATCGCGTTTAACAAATCTATATTCTTCAACAGCGGAGGTAAAAAACAATAAGAAACAAAATGGCAGCGCCCACGGTTAAAAACTGTTGTACGTGTCTTGCTAAAATCAATGGCAAAAACTATCGCCAAATCAGTTCTTCCACAAGCAGATATCAACATCACGCTGTAAAAGTAAATTATCTATACTTTCTTGCTGGAAATCGTTTATTTTTTCGATGTTGAACTTTTAACGTCGTCTATGGTTGTCGCAATATTGTCTGTAATGCTGAACGTCGTACAGAACGAGCATTTTGATTGGTTTAATTCGCCTCATGAAATCGTGAGGGAGCCAATGAAATAGCTGCCTTTGACACACCTCTAATCGACTGAATATCGGCAAAAAATCCCACAGCTGATGAATGTTAATGGTTCGGCCGTGGGTATCCGATGATGGGTGTAGTATAG